ATGCAAAAAAAACGGGGAGGAAAATATAAGAGAGATAAACTAACAAAGCCTCGCAGTCGGTAAGATAATAATAAGAGCTAGAAAAGCGCCGCAAAAGCTCTTCATGAGATGCGGTAAAGAAACTTAAAAAGAGATGTCAACAAAACACGACAGAGTGGATAAGAGCTTACCTCACATATGAACGCGAAAGAATGAGTACTCCCTGCTTATATCATGAGTAAGAAAAAAGGGCTGATTGAGGTGTTTCGAATGTAAATTATGGGGATAATGAGCTTGAACTTTAACAATTGGATTTCATTTGGGGGGCGGAAGCGATAGAAGCAGCATGGTGCTGCCGCGGTTGAGAATTGATTAGCGCAGAGATTCTACAATTTTTAGCGCCAAATGTATTCTGACAGACACCCTTCCTTCTGCAGAGTGTTATAGTCCATCACAACGACACTACTCCGTCTCAATGAGGGTATGGATGGGAGAGTGTGAGAAGAGTGAGTGAGCTGAGGATGAAGGAATGGATGGATGGATGAAGAAAAGAGAGATCATCAGGTAATAGTTATTTAATGGGAGCTTGCCTTCCCCTTATTTTTACATCACATTGTCAACTTGGTGCATGCCCATTAAAAGTGTGCTGACATGTTCTGTGGGTGTCTTGTCGAGACTACCTACCGACTTTGAACATGGTTGCAGATGATGGACCTCAAAACACTCAGTGATGGGCGACAAAAGTATCCATCTCTGTAAGGAGTCCACCAACATCAACCATGCATTGCTGATGGATTTGCTCGGTTTACAGCACCAGCTAAATGGACATTCAACAGCATTTTACAGATACGCTGCAAGCAAGCCAATGGCTTTGTGAGAGTTGTTGTAAACATCTTTGGCTGTTTCGTACACTCGCATAACTCACTATCGCTTTCAGTTGTTCAATGGGCCTTACATTAGAGGAGCCCGGTGATTTTGCTGCAGTCGTTTGAGGGTTGCCCAGGTTCATCGTCACCAACAAATCCATGAAAGTTCACTTTCCCCTCTCTGACAACACCATGCTGCACCCCTTAATCACCATATCATCAGAGACTGCCGAACGCATCGCATCCTACCTCTCCACAAGAGACCTCGTCAATGCAAGCTCAATCCTTCAACCGCTATCAAGTGCATGGTGCTCCACAGCATGCCCTTTGCGCTCACCCATCTCAGAGACCCCGTTCAAGATGACATGTGCTCCCTCACCTACAAAGACTGGAAAATCTTGGGAATCAACTATCTTGCCGTCTACCTATCAAGAGGCCTCGTCGCACTCCCCGCATACTTCTCCGATGGCATCTGGGAACACGGTCTCGTGGTCGTCCACGAAACCTACCATCGGACTTCCTCGTCTCCGCTGTCCACATTGCTTTCAATAACCCGAACTTCATGACGGTCTTTGCAAGATGACGCTCACATCCACATTTGAACATGTCTATACTTGGAAGCATGGCTTTCTGGAACTCCTCACACGTCTCGGCCTCCCCACCCTTCTCGCCCAACTTGAATTCGACGACCAAATATCCTGGATGTGGGAGTCTCTTTGGAACCTCTGTAATAATGGATATGCAGAATCCATGCCGTCATCACTTCTAAAATCGACTGGAATCAGGTCGAAACAGACGATGATAACCCATATGATACCATTTTTCATTGCGATCAAACGGGGCAACTTTCACGTTGCAGAAATATTCCTTCGTTATCAATCTATATGGTTCGCACCGTCCATGATCTTTGAGCATTTGGGGGAGGGTTTGTTAATTGTTTGGAGGGGTTGGCAAAGATGACGAGTTTCTCGCAATCCAAGAATGGAGTATCTGCTTTAAAACTCCTGGACGCTGTGATGGTGGCGGAATATACGAGTGTTGAGTGGGTGGAGATTTTGGTACGTCATGGAGCTCTTTCGGGGGAATATTATCAAGATGAAGAAATCATGTCGACATTGTAGTGATGACTAAAAGGGCTGCCGATCATATTGTTAAGACGATGACGTTGTCAGAAACAATGGGCGAGGATCGGCTCAAAACCGTTATCGCGTCATCTCCGTGGCTTCCTCTTCTTTTGAAGCTCGTTTCCCTTCCAAGGTCCATACCTAACGATACTAGAATTTCGACAGTGTTTCTCACCTTTGTTGAATCCTTACACCTTCCCTTGCAAGAAACGTCTCGATCATCCTGTGCGAGATTGCCTACTTTTCGCTTGCAACGTTGATAACAACGGGATCTACCACTGCCTCTCCGCGGTCTTAACAACCCAACATAACTACCTTTCTATTCAACGACAACATCACCCATGCCCTCCTTCTCAACATCCTCAACAACTACACCACCACTCAAGTCCCCATATCCCGTTCCTACACCTCTCTCGTGTTTCAAGCACACAACCGCGTCGATCCCCGCATCGTCAATCTATTCCTAGACTACCCTTCTCGCCAGTCCAAGAGCAAACATCTAAAGTTTGTTATTGCCTGCAAAGACGGGGATACAGAGACCGTGGCCGCGCTTCTCGCAGATGCATGCACGAAACCCTTTTTACATCAAAACCAAGCATTGATGATGGCTTGTGAGAATGGACATGAAGAGATTGTGGTGAGGCTTTTGAGACGATTGGAGGGCTTGGGAGTGCCTCTTCAAATGAGACCTGGTGATCGGATTGACGTGGAGTTGGTGAGGCAGTTGTGTGAGACCAGGGAGGAAGAGGAGACTGATGGAGACAATGGGGATGAAGAGGATGTGGGAGAGGAGAATGATGAAGAGGTTGAGGATGACGAGGATGATGATGGGGTTGATTGGAGGGATTGTGAGGTTGTGTGGATGTTTGTGAGGTCGTTGAGTATGCAGTTTAAAACAATTTTTGATAAAGCTGTGAAAGAGGGATGGAGAGATGTTTTGAAGGTTTTGGTGGAGAGTGGGAGATTGAGGTGGTGGAAGGAGGAGGTGGAGAAGGTGGTTTTGCATATGGAAAAGAGTATGCGTTGAAGATGGAACGAATAATAACACCACGTTTGGTAAAAGCATTTACGCCAATACTTAAGATACACGTCCCTGGTTTTTATACAGCAAATTTATTTTCGTGTATTAATATTCCAGCATGATCGACTGGCCAAAATGACGGCAGCAGATAAGCGGGGTATCCGGTAAGACCGGTGCAGTACAGCGACGAAATAAACTGGCTTTTCAGAGATGCATGAAGAACCGTGGCAATGACTGAAGGGTCTTGTCATCTCAGGAATTTAGTCGCGTCCGAAATCTCCCTGGCCTCCTTTTCTACTCAAGCTAGTTTCCTAAGTATGTTCTCCTAAGTGATGGATACGAAATCTCGAGGTATAAGAGGCGTAATAGGAAGGTTCCGATTACGAGACTTTTGTATTATCCACGTGCTTTACTACAGAACCGACGTGAATTCTTTTTTTACAACGAAATCACCCAGGTAATATCATAATAGAGTAAAGCGCACGGACAAACAGACATTGTGTATCAATCGTTTTTCAATATATATAGGAAGAGCACCTTATAACACAGTTCAAAAAGCGGGTGTTTTATTATTTCTTCAAAGAAACACTAAAATTCAACATAAAGGAATCTTTATTCAATAAAGTCTTTAATTGGAACAGGTGGAGGATTATCTTCTCCATCGCTAAATGTCGTCGCCGATGATAATGAGTCTGTGAAAGTTTTCGATTGTGCGCTTCGCATGTCGTCCTGCTCTAAACGGGTCTGAAGGTTACTTAACATTGCCGGCGCCGACCATACTGCATCCGGATCCACAGTATTTGATGCAACAGGAATGCCGTGTCGCTGGGTACTCCGTCTTGTGTCGTTGATGATGCGATTGGACAGAGATACTGCGGCTCTATAAACGGGGCATGAACTTTGTGGGATCAGTTTGATGCGTAAGGCCGAGACTGCTTTTTCTATACCCCGTGCGATCCATGTGAAGAGGAGATGGAGGGTTGACGGATGTTTCTGGTACAAGGGGGAGGTCTTTCCATTCTGTTGCTAAAGGGGAGGATTGATGGGACGGGTTGATCCAGAGAAACGTTTGGATGAGGTTATGCTTGAAAACGAAGAAGATCTTGATGGAGTTCTATATGCGCTTGTGTCGGAGCAATATGAGGATCGCGGACTTTGGGATGGTACGAGCTTGCGGTTGATTTTGCCTTAACAGGTCGTCGATTCTTGTTGATAGCTATAGGGGGAGGGAGGTAGGTACCCCCAGGTTGAACGGTTCCAGTCACTTCGAGGTCTTTGACGATGAATGTTCGGTATGATGATGTGTGCTTGGGACTTTGGTGGTGGCGAAGATGCAGATGGTGAAGAGGAGGGTGAGACTGGCGAGACAGCTGATGAGGATGACGATGGTGCACCAGTCGTTGGGGGTGGCGGGTCTAGAGCATGAGGGGATGGTGCAGGTGAAGCCTATAGGACATGAGTAACTTGTTCCAGGCAGCAGTAATATCCTTGGGACTGTGGATGGTAAGAGAAAAGTGGTGTTAAGGAAACGGTAAATGAGGAACGAATATGCATCTATAGTACTTACGGTGTGCATGATGGCTCTTGATTCAGGATATGTATTGGAGGCAGCTCGTGGCTCGAGATGCGATGAAGTGAGGATAGCCTCAACAACGGTAAAGGTCCGTGATATGCTCATGATTAATTCGGAATGTGATGGAAGTTACGATGAATCGCTAAAGAGGTTCCAAGTCTCGCCTCCCTCCCTTTTTAACAGGGATAGAATGAGATACAAAGGGAGACATGATGGCATCAAATGAACAAGGTTGATTCTTAACAAAACTGGTGATGGATGAGAAGTTTACAGACGGATCAGTCTTTCGAAGATTCCCTCGAAGGCGTTGAGGCTGAAGTTGAGGGAGGCCCAAATAATCAGAGGTAAACACAAGACTTGTCAGCAAACCTTTTATTTTGCTTACATCATTTCGAGATAGAGTCTCCCCCGTCAAAATAAAATTTTACGTAACACAGGCATTCGTGGTCAAGTGGTTAGGGTTCTCCTCACCACCAGGCAACGTCCTCGGATCGCATCCGAGGGAATGCACCATTCTTTGGTTCAGCGTAGAGATGAAATAAAGCACACACACTCGGTTTAAAATTTAATTTTGAACCGAACAAAGATGAACTTCGTCTTTGAGCTTTGGGGAAAGTCCTAGGACAGATGGTAGAAAGTACCGCCGTTAACTCGGTCCTTTGGTTTATGTCGTATAGCCTGGGATTTCAAACTCCGATTGTATTTGGGTTTGGGATCCAATGAGGTTGATGGCTGCCAATGGTTTGTCATGTCATAGTCATGCATCTGACGTCTCTTTGGAGGCGTTGACAGAACGAGGCTTACTGCGCTGAACCATCCCTCCTCCCTCCTTTCCTTTTTACTTTTTGCCTTTTCTTTTTGATACTCAGCGACTACGTGTGTTTTATCACGAATGCATCGTACATACAGTCACTGCATGTAGGAGGAGTGATATTTATATTTAGTGGCTAATGAATAAGACTTAAAATATTACAAACTCCGTCATGCATCCATCATCATTACATAACTACAGCGGTTATGTACTAATTATTAATTATTGTTTTTTAGGCGGTGTGTTTAAACGTTATCTACACACAAATAAGGTTTATAAACTGCACACTGCACACCCCCCATTCATCATCAAAGCACAAAACACAAAAAATTATTCCCCCATCTGATAAGAGAGGGGTCAGGATATCATCATCAGTACAACAACATACATAGTACATGTGCTAAGAATAATGGATTCGTCTTCATCACCCATCCTTACTCTCACCGGCATCGTGCTGGTCACGACGTCCCTTCTCACTCACCATCAATCCAACATCTCCATCAGCAACCTATTCAACGAAATCCTCATCTCCCTAAACTTAACCTCAAGCAACCTCATCGTCTGCAGGATCGACGATCGCTCCCTCCTCTCCTCTGATCCCAGGATCCGTCCCTCACCTTCAACCATTGACGACGCCGTCTCCGTCTCCTCAGCATCTCCACCATCATCAAACCCAACTCTCACCAACTCGCCGCAGAATGGTTCCCTGCGGCTTTTTTGGGGCAACCGATACCCTGTCGACGGGATTGGAAGATGGCAGGATACATTTTTTTGTTCTCATAGACGACGATGATGCACCGCAGCTACAACATGAGCAGCAGGGCGACGTTGATGTATCTCCACCGCATATGAAGATCTGGATCCGAAATCGTTTCGTCGGTCAATGGGGTTCGCGTTGATGAGCAAGGCAGAGTATACTCCTGAACAACCTCTTCATCTGCCGGCCGTTAACTTCCTTTATTCATTCCGAGGAAAACCAAAAAGAACCAGAGCACATTAACCAGCTGAGTCACCCCACTGATGACTCGATCACAACGAATCCTGTGAGAGGTTCGGCTGTATCCAATATCTTTCAATCAATGACGTCCTTGTCGAGAGGAAAGTCGTTGGGTAGAGCCTTACCAGAAGATCGCGATTCCTACCGTCAAACCTACAAGCCCTCATCCCCAGCACCTCAATCACCTTTACCGGCTTTACATACCACTGCTCAATCAACCTCCTCGATCCACATCGACTCCAGGCACAGTTTACGTGTCGTCCCCATCATCCGCCCCCTCTGCAACATCTCACTACCCCGATCTCTCACCTCCTTCCCAAAACGAAAGCTTGCAGGCAATGGAACCGCCTAAATTGAACCACCGTTCCCGATCTTCATCCCTCTCTGCCTCAAAATATCAGAAAACATCTGTGCCATCGACTCAACTTCAGCAACAAGGGATAATCCCTTCCCAGTATATGGACAATAGTACCTACGATTCCACAGCGCGTCCCATCTCTGGATACCACTCGACTCACCGATTCGAACCCTATATCCATCAACAACAAGTACAACAACAACACCTCGTCCACGGCTGGTCGCACTCTCAATCCACACCACACATCAACACACCTTCTTTTATCGATCCCAGTAAAAGTTTTGGTCATTCTCACCACCACCACCATCAACCCCCCCTCGATCCCCGCAAAAGCTTCAACTGGTCCCCTCAACACCAACACCAACAATATCAACCCCTCATCATCGACGCACCTCCCCCACCACCCAAAAAATCCATCCTAAAACCCACTCGAACCCTCCACATAGACCCTCCACACCGCGACCTTCGGAAAAAGAAATCCGTAGTCTCCTCTGACGCCTTATTTCTAAGCTACGCATCTTCATCATCCCCTAAACCAACTGTTCCAGGGACAGGATATGGACACATTTTACCCGCAGAGCCAGATGCGTCTACCGAGTTTGGTCAATATGAAGTCATGCAGCCTTTGACGCCACCGGATACACCAAAAGGCCCGTTCCCGTTTAATCGGGTATCACAGGGCTTTGTGGAGACTGTGAAAGTGAAGCATGGGAGGGAGAGGTCGATGGACTATGGGCGTGGTGGTTATCGATGAGTTTGTTGAGGTGTGATCATAGATACTTGTGAGGGTAATGTTTTGGATTATAAATAAATATTCATAACTGTTTCTTGGATTAGAAGGATGGATGGATGTAAATAGTATAAATACTTTCCACCCTCAATGTGATGTCATGAATGTGCAATGACATCCTCTGATCGATGCGTCTCTTTTGCTAATTTTAAAAGATTGTCATAAATATACGAGCCATCGATGCGCACATGCAGCAGAGTGTGTTAAATACCAAGACCCATACCTAGGCCATATTAATAGCCCATAAGAGGTTTCGGAGAGCAGGGTGTTTTGTCGTTTGGTGTTTGGCAGAGTAAAAGGCCTCTTGAAACGCCCAGCCGTGTTTCAACCTTTTTTTTCTGTGTCAGCCCGTCGTGCAACAATTAGGTGCTGCAAGAACTCCTGCAACAACTCCGTGTCTTGTCTTTTTTTTTTTTTTGCATCCGCTTTTTTTTTATAATTTTTTTTTTGATTGCCTCGCCGTCGTCGCCATCCGAGGGCCTGTCTTTTTCTATTCCTTGTTCTCTTGCAAGTCCAGAAAGCGCCAATAAGAAGTTTGTCCATTTGCATCAACTCCCTTTCCTTGAATATCATCACACTTTGAGGGCATCATCATCAAACATCAACTTTCTTGAAAGATGGCAGAGCCTACATGGAACCTCCGCGGCATCGTCCTCGCTGACCCTCATCCCATCACCATCCCCACATCCCCTTCCTCCTCCCTCACAACCTTCCGCGACGCCATCTCCCATGCAACAAGCATCCCCATCGCCTCTCTCCTCCTCTTCCGTCCCAACGACCCCAAATTCTCTCTCCACGATCCCGCACTCCGTCGCATCCAAGCTGAAGCCACATCTCGCCATGCGTTACCGACGAGCGTTTCAGGAGTGATTGCTGCAGCGACTCTTGTGGGAGTCGAGGAGGCTACTGTCGGACAGTGGTTTGAGGAAACCGTCATGAAGGTCAAAGGACATGTACCGGATATCATCCATTTCTTTGTCATGGTTGCTCCTCGTTCTTCTGGATCATCTGCTGCTCGAACAGCGGCTGCACAGCAATCATCAGCTCCTAAACCTATACCCCACGTCAAGACCATGCCCGTCCCCCCAGTTCGCTCTGAATCCAACAACAACATTCTCCGTATCGTCAACCTCCAAAGCGACTTGTTTAAACCAACATCCCAAACGTCAGACCTTAGTTTGATGTCGCCGCAATCACGGCAACCTGCCCCACCAAGGTCTGGAGGAAATGTAACAGGTGCCACGTCGCTGGATTCACCTCCCCCAATGTCGCCGCAAGGTCCTCCACCTACTTTTCAGCAAGCAATGGCGACTAGAGCTCGAGCAAACACTGGTGGACCATCCCCTCCACCCATGTCGCAGCAAGCATCTGCATCTCAATCCCAACAACCCTTAAAGTCTGGGCCATCAAACGTTCCTCCGTCCATTATGAAACCCACTCCTGGACCTCAGCCCCAGCAACCCCCCATCTCTGGATCAAACAATCCCCCAACATCCATTATGAAGAACTCTCCCCAACAGTTCCAGGATTCCTCGAGGCCTCGCGCAAACACTGGTGCCCCAACCTCCCCACAGCCAACTCCACAAGGTCCCGCACCCCAATATCAGCAGTCACCAAGGTCTCAACCTAAATCCAACTCCCCATCTCTCGACACCTCCCCTCAATCCCCTAAATCCCCATCCCCCCAACAACCCTCACGTTCCGGCCCCCCATCGACATCCCCATACAACACCCCGCCAATGTCCCCTCAAACCCGATCACGATCAAACACTGGCATCCTCTTACCCCAAGACAACCCCTCTCCACCCACTCTCCAATCCCCATCATCCCCAAATCACAACTACTTTCCTCCTCCTCAACCCCAATTCCAACCTCTACCATCCACCTCCCGCGGTCGCTCCACTCTCAACCCGCAAACCCAAACCATCGTCCTGCCCATGCGACGTCAAACCACCCTTGGATTCTGATCCCCGTGACGCCCAACGTGGACGACCACAGGATTCACGGGTCCATGCTCCCCTTCACGTGTTCATAGTCCTGACCCTCGTGGTTTTGATGCAACCATGCCTAGCGTTGAATACCGTCCTGCAAACCATGATTCTCGTGGTCGTTCACAACACCGATCACAGGGGCAGGACATCGTTCTCAACCGGATGGTAACATGCCGAGCGTTGAATATCGTCCTGCAAACCATGACTCGCGTGGTCGTCCACAAGGCCAGGATCCACGATCACAGGGACAGGACATCGTTCTCAACCGGATGGTAACATGCCGAGCGTTGAATACCGTCCTGCAAACCAGACTCGCGAGGTCGTCCACAAGGCCAGGAATCACGTGCGCAACCCAAGATCCACGTATCCATCCCTCCCAACCCGTCCTCCCCGCGATGACCCCCGTTCTCAACCCCCACCCGACACCGACTACCAAAACTACAACAACCGCAGCGATTCCCGAGGTCGCGGTCGTTCCCAAAACCCCCTGAATCACGTCGTCAACACCCTGACCCCACCGACACCTACGAACCCCGCACCGATCCCGTCGTCCACCCGCTCAC